ACAACACACAGTAGATTCAGGATAGCAGGCTCCTCTAGAAAGAAGGAGAAGGGGCAGGAAACAGGATGGGGAGGAGCACATACGTAAATGTAAATTACTGCTAATTTTTCTAGTCCTCGGTTTGAATGATGGGTTCATCAAGGGTCCATTACATAAATATGTGTTAAAGTTTTTAAAAAATACAATAAAAGAGCCAGGTATAGTTTGTCTTGAACCACAATTATGAAAAAATTCCAACTTTGTGCATCCAACGATCAGATTTTTTTTTTAAATAAAGGATAAAAGGACTAAGAAATGAATAGCCAAGTACTCACTATCAAATTTGAGAGAGAACCGCCTGGCCAACATGGTGAAACCCCATCTCTACTAAAAATATAAAAATTAGCCAGGCGTGGTGGCTCATGCCTGTAGTCCCAGCTACTTCGGAGGCTGAGGCAGGCGGAGACACTCTCGAATCCAGGAGGTAGAGGTTGCAGTAGGCCGAGATGGCACCACCGCACTCCAGCCTGGGCGACAGAGGAAAACCCTGTCTCAAAAAAAAAAAAAAGAAAGAAAAGAAAAAGAAAGAAAACAGTGTATATATAGTTGAAGCTCCTTGTGTTTTGTGTACCCATCCCCAATGCCATTTCCCTTTTTAGTCCCCAGAGAACACCTCATTCCTGACTAGTGTTTTATGTTCCTTTGCTTCTCTTTTAAAAAATTTCAATGCACACATATGCATCCATGAACAACAGATAGTGGTTTTTGCAGGACCGAAAACATTAATGAAATTGTATGATTCTATGCATAATAGCCTACTTCTGGCTTTATTCCTTCAACACTATATTTTGGCATCGGTAGTACCACTTTCCTCATTTTTCTCATCTGTAGAGTATGTATTTTTTGTAACTTTTATTTCAGGTTCAGGTTCAGGTTTGTTATATAGGTAAACTTGTGTCATGGTGGTCTGTTGTACAGATTATTTCATCACCCAGGTGTTAAGTCTAGTACCCAATAGGTCTTGCTTTTTGTTCCTCTCCCTCCTCCCATCCTCCACCCTCAACTAGACCCCAGTGTGCTATATATTTTACATGAATGTAGTACAATTCATCCATTTACTCGTTGAAGGACATTTAGTTGTTTATATATTTTTGCTGCTACAAATAATGCTACCATCAACATTCTTAGACTTATCTCCCTATGCACATGTGCAAGAGTTTCTCTAGATCATGCCTTGAAATAGAATGGCAGGTCATGCACATCTTCAGCTTCACGAAGCAATGCCACATTGTTTCCCAAAGTGTTTGTGCCAGCCTGCACACCCACCAGCATTTTATGAGAGCTCCCATGGCTCTACATCCTCACCAACCTTGGTATCATCCAACTATTTCATTCTTGCCATTTTGGTAGGTATGGAGTGTTAGTGTGGTTTGGCATTTCTCTAATTACTAATGAGATGCAGCATCTTTTCTTGTGTTTATAGGACATTCATGTAGCCTCTTGTAAAAGACATTTTTGTGGCTCTTGCCAAGTTTTTGTCTATTGGAATGTTTGTCTTTTTTTATCAATGTACAGGCATTAATTCTATATTCTGGATATGCTTTTGTGGGTTTTTGTGTATGGGAAATATCTTTTCACTCACTTTTTTATTTTTAGTTGAATGACAGTTTAAAATTTTGCTAGTGCTAAACTTAGTTTTTTTCATTTTCAGTTTGTACTTCTGGTATCTTGTTTAAAGAATTCTTCCTGACTTTGTGGTGACATATATGCAATCTCTAAAGCAACTTCTGTAGATATCAGGTTTCCAAATTTCCTGGCTATTTACTGTGTCGTTATTCTCTTGGTCTCTGTGCCAAAACCATCTTAACCACTGCAACTTTATAATAATGTCCACTAGGGCAAGTTCTCCTCACTTAGTTGTTGACATTGCTATGTTACTGTTGTCTTCTTCTCTTCCCTGTTCTCCTTTTTCTTCCCTCCTTCCCCTTCCACCTCTCCCTCTCCTCCTCCTCCTCCTTGTTCCTCTTATCTTCTTTCTTCTCCTGGAATATCTAAGCTATATTTTACTATTGCTCTATATGCTATACATTTTAGAATCACCTTGTCAATTTCCATGGAAAACCTTATTTAGATTTTGATTTCAATCATATCTCTCAACTATTGAATTTATCAATTATGTTGTAAAGAATTCACATGTTTGTGACACGGAATCTTTCCACGATGGAACATGACATGTCTCTCCCATTTATTTAGAACTTCTTTAACATCTTTCTATAAAGTTTTATCATTTTTCACATAAAGATCTTGCACATCTTTTGTTAGGTTTATCCCTAGGTTTTTGTTCTTTTGAAAACGGTATTTTTTTTAAATATTATCTTTTATGGCTTTTTATCGCTAGTCTACAGAAATGCTCCGTTAGTTCCTTTTTTAAACAGATAGATTTCAACTACTCAAGATTCAGACGGGAGTAGATGTGTCAACAGGCACTCAGCAAATTAGATATTCAGAACAGACATTCAGCAGACAATGGCATGGTTGTACTGATTACAAAATTCTTGAAATATTTCCATAATGGGGCCCCTTGATTTCTTTCCTGTCACGCTGGCCATCCTGACCTCTCCCCAGGGACGGGCCCAGACCTCTCCAAGGTCCAGACACCACTGTATTAACACCAGGTATGGCACAGGGCTCAAGTCTTGTTCCACTGCGAAGGCCAGTGTCTGTTCTGGGTGTTTGATTTTCATACCTTGTGAGTTGTTAAATATCTTTAATATTATTCCTTAGGTTTGTATGCTGGTAGTAACTAAATACCAAGGGTGAAATATTAATCTGAGTGAATTCTCAACAAGAGGTGATCAGTTTTGGGTTTCAAGGACAGAATCGGGAGATCTGAGATGTAACTAAGGAGATTCTATTCAGCACTGGCCTTTGATCAATCCCCCCTCCTCTGAAATCCCTGCAGCTTCACCATACTCTTCTTGAAGCTCCTGCAGGCACTTCAAATGCAACATGTTTTAGATTAAATACATTATCTGTGTCTGCTAAATCAGCTCTCTCTGTGCCTCCCCTAATTAGTAGAAGAGCTTCTCTGACGATCCTATCCCCTATGGTAGAAAATTCAAAATCATCCTAGACTGTGCCTCACCCTTATGTCCTCTTTTGTATCACGTACCAAGATCTGACAATTCCATTCCATGAAAAAATCTTTTGAGTCTGACCTCTTCTCCAATCCCATTGCTGCTGTCAAGTTTTGAAATCATTTCCTAAATGGTCTCTTGGCCTCTGTGTTAGTCTGTTTTCACACAGCTATGAAGAATACCCAAGACTGGGTAATTTATAAAGGAAAAAGGTTTAATTAACTCGCAGCTCTGCATGGCTAGGGAGGCCTCAGGAAACTTACAATCATGGCAAAAGAGGAAGCAAACACGTCCTTCACAAGGTAGCAGGAGAAAGAAGTGTGAGGAGCGAAGCAGGAAGAGCCCCTTACAAAACCATCAGCTCTCACGAGAACTCACTCACTATCATGAGAACAGCATGAAGGAAACTGTTCCCATATTCCAATCTCCTCCCACCAGCTCTGTCCCTAGACATGTGGGGATTACGGGGATTACAATTAGAGATGAGATTTATGTGGGGACACAGAGCAAAACCATATCAATCTCCAACTTCTTGCTCCTCCAGTCCCTGCCCCCAACACTGCTCTTGGCATTCCAGTCCCTGCCTGGTCCATAGCCTACTCCTTCTTCATCTGTGGAAGGGAGGGTAGTGGGAGCCATCAGCCTGGGCAGGGAGGAGTGTTTTATCACTATACTGTTTAGAATGGTGCCAATACAAAGCACATCAACTTTCAGCCAGTTTATTATTGGGTTTAAATTATCTACACACAATGCTCTGCTTTTGCCTACACCTGAACAGTGTTCCCACTCACTCTCCTTGGTATGATGCTGGAGATAATATGATCCGCCATGAAGGTTAAATAAAGCAATGTTCACTGAGAACTCAGCCCACGCCCCTGCACATGCTGAGCATTTTGTTAATGTAACAATGATTAGTAATAGCATTGTTATTGGTTCCCCATCTCTGGCAAAGCCTTCCACGCTTGGCCTCCCTCACTCTCTTCCACCTTCCTAAACCTTACACTCCAGCTATGCCAAACAGTTTACTCTGCCTTAGACACACCAAGTTCTCCCATGTTCCTCAAGCCTTTGCAAATGCTCCTTATGCTGCTAGAATAATGAATGTCAATTCATCATTTAGGATCCAGCTTACAGTCATGCTTTCCGTGAAGCCTTCCTCAAATTAGCCACACAAAAGGAGTGAATCCTCCCTGTATTCCCATGGCCCTCTGCTCATGCCTCCTCTTTAAAGCCTGCCTTCACTGGAGTTCCTGGAAGGAAGAGTCTGTTCAGCACTCATCTCTGTATCCACAGTCACCAAAATTGTATCTGCCCCATAATAAATGCCCAATATTTGCAGGGATTTTGCTTGTTGGCTTGTTTTGTTTTGCTGGAATGAATGAATAAATAAAAGGGAACGATTATGCCTTCACCCTAAGCCTAGCTAAAAGTTTGGGTAGTGACAGTTTTGGTTATTTTGTGGAACCTGATAGTGGATCCTTCTTTCTATGCCAAAAAAAAAAAAATCCCAAATAGTAGAGTACCTGTTTTCCTAGGGAATTGACCTCAGCAACCGAAGGAGAGGCGATTCAATGCAGGGAGGGTGATGAACAGGTCAACTCTGTCCTCGCAGCCGTCCCTGAGAGGGCGCTGTTCCCAAATCGAAGCCCCAGAGGCGGGGACTGAGACACCGGCGCTCTCCTCCGAGACTGGGTCAGCATCCCTCTCCCCGCGCGGCCGCAGGTCTGGAGCTGAGCGCCTGCCCACAAACATGGCGGCGCCCTGCGCGGCTTCGCGTCGCCGGGACCGTGGGGCCGGCCCTGCCTTGCCAGTACTCGGGGACTTCCTCCGCGCGCCGGCTTCCTGCCCAGCTGGCATTTAAACCAGCGCCTGGGGCTGCAGGATGCTGCTGCGGATGCGGAGCTGTCCGCGGGGTGGGCAGCGTCGCCGCCTCCCCTGAGCCGCCTCGGTCCGGCAGGAGCGGAGCCGAAGCATCCCTTGCTGCACGCAGGGCAGAGCAGGCGAGGGCTGGGGGCCGATCGGGGACCCCGGCATCTGGCAGTTTCCTTGCAGGTTCGACTTTAATTTCCAAGATTGCACCCCTCCTCCTCTAGCCCAGATCATTTATCCTCCCTCCGGCCTGGGCTGCTGGATGCAGCGGCGGCTGGACTTGGTCCCAGGAGCAGGGAGAGTGCGCTCCCGGCCCTCCTAGCCGCGTGCCCGGGCCATGGTGCGGCTGAGCTCCGCGCTTGGGTGAGGCGGCGGCGCGGCTTGGAGCCCGGCGGACCGGTCCTACGGGACATCTTTCCCTGAGGAGGAGTCTTCCCCTGGGGCTGCGTGCCGGGGGCGAGCAGCGGCCGCGATGTTCAGCTGGCTGGGTACGGACGACCGCCGGAGGAAGGACCCCGAGGTTTTCCAGACGGTGAGTGAGGGGCTCAAGAAACTCTACAAGAGCAAGCTGCTGCCCTTGGAAGAGCATTACCGCTTCCACGAGTTCCACTCGCCCGCCCTGGAGGATGCCGACTTCGACAACAAGCCCATGGTTCTGCTGGTGGGCCAGTACTCCACTGGGAAGACCACCTTCATCAGGTGAGCCGGCCCAGGGTCCCAGCAGCCCACCCCGGAGCCCAGCGCCTAGTCCCTCTGGTCACTCCTGGTGCTCCACTCCTGACAGGGGACCAATGGGAAGCCTTCAGTTGAGGGCTCTGAAGAGATCTGTGTGTGTGCAGGCGTCAAAATCTTACCCCATAATTTTTGCTGGTCCCCCTTCCCATGCTACCCAATACCTGTACACTCTACTTGGCCCTTGGCTCTAGTGGTCAACCTGAAGTATTCAAGTGTAAAGCCATTCCTGGTCTCCCCATCTTATAGATGATGAAATCGAGCCCCAGGAGGCACAATGGAAGAGCTCCTGGTCTCTGGAGCACCTCATGCTGGTGGGAATGTCTTGCATCTTCACTTTTTAGAAACATCATTCACGGGCAAAAGCTCTTCCCTTGCTTTTCAAGGGGCTTGGCACTCACGTGGGGGCCTCACAGTTGCAGCTGAGCTCTGATGGGTGCAGGCCTGGGGACGGAGGTTGCCTGGGGATGCTACTTGTCCTCCTTTTATCATTTCCTTCTCTAAAGCAGAGCTCCTGTGTGTGTATATATGTATCTTGGAGACTGGACAGAGTCCAGAAGCAGAATGCTTTTTTTTTTTTCCTTTCTCTTATTTGATCTTAATGGCTCAATAATAATATTAAAGACTCTTAGAGGTGGAAGGGATATTGGCATTGTCTCATCCAGTTCCTGACTTTGCAGGTGAGATAACTGAGGCGCAGAGAAGTTAAATGAATTGTGCAGAGCCATCTAAAGAGTGGGCAGCAGACCTGGGATCTAAGTCCTAGATGCATGTGAGGAGATGGTTGGCTAAACGCCTGTAACTCTGAGAGTGAGTCATCCATTCCCTTCAATTACAGAATCCTTGGGCTGGAGAGAAGCTCAAGAAGTCAATTTGTTCACCCTGCATTCAGAGAGGTCCACCAGAGGCCCTTCCTATCTTTAGATAACAGGCTTCTCTCCAGTCGTCAATCCTCCCAACTTCAAGGCCGGCCATTTTTCTTGGCCTCTTTTACAGCCATTCCAAGCTGTTGAGAATGCTGTGGCCCTCTGTCTTAAGAGTCAGGCTCCCACAGACTGAGAATGGAGTTTGGTGGCCCCCCAAAGTCAAGCGTGCTCATCTCCTGCAGAGGGTTTGGAAAGCAGGGGTATCCGTGTTCCTATTCCTTGGCTGTCTGAGCATCCACAGCATGCGAAATGCTGTGCTTTGTTTGGTGCGGAGAGCAGAAAAGTTAACAGTCTAGTTACTAATTTTCTAGGTACTAATTTTCTCTAACATCGACCTTGTAACGCAAGCCTTCTGGAAGTAGCACCATGCTAATAGGTCATGTCTAAACACAACACCACATTCAGTTTGTCCTTGTGGAGTGCACAGCCTAGGGCTCAGCAGCTTTGAGAGGCCAAGTGATTTCTGAAGGAGTTTGGGAGGTGATGGGCCTGTTGGCTCTTGTATGTTTTGTATTGATAGAACTGCAAGAGGCCTTTGAGATTAATCTAATCCATTGCTTCTGAACTTTCTATCTTTAGAAAAATGTATATACATCTCAAATTTGCATATAATGTTGGGGGTGCAAGGGCCATCTTTGGACTTAGGGTGGGAACCCCTGATCTAAGCCATGCCCCTTGTTTTATTAAGCACCCATTGCTGCCAAAGGTACTTCAGAGCTGCCTGGGTTGTGTGCAGGGTTTCCTTTGTGAGCCCTGGCCTCCACTTGGCCCATTCATGCCTCAAGGGAAATGCAGGCCATTTGCAGATGTCCCTTGCCCCCTCTCAGTCTTCCCTGGCTCTCTGCACATATGGTATTTATAACCTTTCCTACATTATTTGTAGCTTCTCCTTCCTGGAGTACAATCACTGACAAGACAACATCCATGCCTTAGCATCTCCGGGGCCTCTTCCAGGGTCTCAGCTATAGGAGGTTCCCAGCAGACATTTTGCAGAATGGAAGGGAAGATGGGGAGAGGCAAGGATCCCCAAGCAGCAGACAGGTTTAAGTGCCTTTTGTCTGAGACACTCTCCTGGCTTTGCCTGAGTCATCGCTGGCTGTTAACTGGGTCTAAGAAAGTGGCAGAGTCAAATTGCCACAGATGATTCCTTATCTGAGGGAGACAGCAAGACCGGGAGAGACAGATCTCTCTTCTTTCTTATCCTCCATGTGCAATAGTTCCCTCTCCCCACTCATGTCAGCAGCTGAATTTAGCTCATGCATCAAAAGCTGTCTCCCCTTGGGGGAATGTCAGCCAGCACTGTAGGAGGGGTCGTACCACAGGGAACCCTCCAGAACCAAATCGTGTACTTTTCTTCTTTCTCATAAAATCCAATAAACAGTTGTTTTTAATTGGAAAATATAGAAAAGAATAAATTTAAAGAAGAAAGAAAGTCACCCATAATCCCATGACTTAGGAGAAGCTATTTTAATTTACATATAAAACATTTATATATAAAGCATATAATTTATATATAAAATATATTTCCAGTATTTGTAGCTATGTTATAGCACAGTTGAGATCATGCTGTACATATAATTTTGTGTGCTGGCTTGTTTGTTTTGTTTTTGTTTTTGAGATGGAGTCTCACTGTGTCACCCAGGCTGGAGTACAATGGCACAATCTCGGCTCACTGCAACCTCCGCCTCCTGTGTTCAAGCGACTCCTGCCTCAGCCTCCCAACTAGCTGGGGTTACAGGCGCCCACCACCACGCCTGGCTAATTTTTGTATTTTCAGTAGAGATGGGGTTTCACCATGTTAGGCAGACTGGTCTCGAACTCCTGACCTCAGGGTATCCACCCACCTCAGCCTCCCAAAGTGCTGGAGATTACAGACGTGAGCTACTGCATCTGGCCAGTTTTTCTTACTTATAGCGTGAACATTTCCCATGTTATAAGCATTATTTGTAAGCATTATTTTTAACAACTGTATACTATTTCACTGTTTGTATATACAATTATTCATTTAACTAATGAATAATAACTAATGAATAGCATTGTTTTTAACAGCTACATACTATTTCATTGTGTGTATATACGAGTCTTCATTTACTTAATCTACTTCTCTTGGATGTTTTAGGCTATTTCTAATTTTTTGTTATTGTAGAATAATTCTGAATATCTCTGTGTATAATATTTTTTCCTATATTGTATGTGTGGTTTTTTGTTTTTTGTTTTTTGTTTTTTGAGATTCCCAGAAGTGGAATTGCTAGGCCAAAGGTTGGGCAGAGTTTTGTTTAAATTATTTTTTAACTTTAAAATTTTTGGATTAAGAGTCATATTTGGCAGTTGTTTTCCAAGAGGGTGAGTTGACACTGCATCCCTTCCCCAGAGCGAGTGAGGCTGCTCTGGGGTGGATAAGTGCGTCCATGCCTACGTCTCAGAAGGCCTCCTCCCCTCCCTTCTCCCATCCCTGCTTCTCGCCTTGATTCTTGTCTCTATCCCAGGCCTGAACCTGTGAGGGGCCTTTTCCTCAGAAACAAAGACTTGCCTCTTCATTCCCCCAGTTCTTGGCGTTTTGCCCCTGAGGGTCCATCCACTTTCTGTTATATGTGCTTGCCACGGGGTCTATTTCTTGTCTCAGGAAGAACACACAGAAAAGGACATTCTTCTAATAACTAATTAATGTGCTGTGATCTTTGCCTGAAATAACTTCCCTGGCCTAAGGCCCGGCAACACAGAGTAATAAAATAAACAGTAAATTGGCTTGGCGGCTGCCCTCTCCAACACAGGCTGCCTCTTTGGAGTACAGTAGCTCTGTGTCCTCTGGCCCTGGCAGCCTTTCCTCCTGCCTCTGCTATTCTTCTCCCTTTGCTATTTCTCTGCCTGGCATGCAGCCTCGAATCCCTCCTTCCTTAGATCCTCTGGCCCCTGGTCACTCCTTCTCGCTGCCTACTTCTGTGGCCCCTTATTCTGCAGGTAGTGGAGGTGAGTAGCTGGCTGATCCAGGGGCTGAGAAAGGCCTGAGTACTTCCATGGGCCATGAGGGAGGCCTCCCAGGACCTTGGCAGAGCTGAGATAGGGGCTCTAGCGGGTTGGCTGTGGGACCTGGGGCTGCAGAGCTAGGCTGCCCTGGGCTCCACAGGGAGGCTGAGCTGGTCTCGAGGGTTGCACGGACCTTCTATTATGTGACTTGGACTCTGAGGCATGAGCACACGGTGGGGCTGCTGGGAGTCCACCCTGAGGGCTACTGAGCTGACCCTTTCAGCTTCTCCCACTTCAGGAGACTGCGACCTCCCACCCCAAAGGTGACCTGGCATTTGCTGTGGCTGCACCAGCTCTCATCACCACCCTGACATCCCCACCCCAGACATTACAGCGCCACCGCGCCGGGAAAGATGGTTCTCCAGAAAGCCAAAGGGATAAAGTAAGAGGACCACCACCCCAGTGGACCCACTCACTGCAAAGTCCATCCTGCCAGGCACAGCCCCTGCATCGCCTTCAGCCCTGTCCACCCACCGAGGCCAGGGGATGTCCTTAGTCTGTCAGGGTTCTGATCTGCTGACTGTCTACAGGGGCCTGGGTGAAAATCCACCTGCTTCTTACAAGGCCTAAGTGTTACACAAGGGAGCAGAAGGCCTTAAGCCAGAGGAACTGTGTCTACGTGCCTCAGCCTGGCTTAGGGGCTGCCTTGTAAGTCAGGTGCCTGGAAGTCATCAGGAAAAACATTTACTGGGAGGAGAAAGACCTTTGGGGAAAGGTCTCCCTCCCATTCCCATTGACAGTGGGACGAAGGCCATGGAACACAGTCCAAGTCAGCAGAATCCAGCTCCACCACTTCCTGCCCAGAGACCTGGTTAGGAAGGTCTGACAGAGGTCAGGCCACCTCCCCTTTCTGACCCGCAGTTTCCTTATCCATAAGATGCGAATAGTAATAACTGCCTCACAGCATTACTGACCGGATTCAGGGGGAGGCAGAACCAGTTTAGCACCAGCTGTGCTCCAGGCCCTGCGCATGGGGCTTTATCATTTCCTCTCCTCTCTCGAGCTGACTCTGATATG